AATAATAATTTTTGATTCTTAGGCATTCCTATGTGTAAAGACGCAGAATTTCAATTATTTCAGATAGTTTCACACATAGGGATGAATACACATAATCGCAAGCTCCTCACAAGAATTAAAACTAGCTGCCTTATGTTTACAAGACGAACTCTGCTATAGACGCTTGAATGAAAGTACAGGCATGATTCTGGGTTCGTCTAATAGGATGAAACGAAGCCAAATGAAAAAAGTAAAGTACAGTTAAACTGTAGAAGATGAAGCGCACTGGATTTAATTCGCATTTTTATTAGAAATAGGAAGGAAATTACTTGGCCATGGCCAATTTGAGATAGTCAATTGTGGCTGATTGAGTTTCTGTTCTCAAACTGCTGATGAGAAGTTCGACAGTTTGATATAAACATGCCTTTCATACGGTCAAGTAGTATATCTTCCACAGCACTAACAACTGACCCTCGGATCTTTTTTTGTTAGCTAAACATAACAATGCATTATGGTAGTCAAGCTAATGTAAGTTTTCTCCAACATGTTATTGGAATTGCCAAATATTTTGATGTAATTGTGGATGATGGTGGTCATGTGATGCAACAACAAATCACATCCATTAAAACATTAATACCAGCGGTTAGATCGGGTGGACTTTATATTATAGAAGATCTGCTAACAAGTTATATGTCAGGCTACCACGGTAAATATTTAGATCCATCAACAATAATCAGCTTTATCAAAAACCTTGTTGATGATATACAAACAGCATCACCAATCCGCACTGTTACATCAATTGGGAAATATGTTCGGTCGTTTGAACTAGAGAATGAAATATGCCTTTTTAATATAAAATGATGAAGAACAGTCGCGCGAACGTTAATCAATTGATAAATTCAATCAAAGCTTTTTCCTTATATTTCGTGGAATGGCGTCCATTAAGGATACTTCTCCCTTCTTTTTGGGGTTTCCGCAGAAATGCTGTCAAATAAGAACTAAAAATCACTAAGGCTTCGTATTTTCATAACTGATTGGAAACTCAATGGAACACTTTACGTTTTTATTTCAAGCTTTTAACTATTGCCGTTCACCATCTTTCCAGAAAACTCGGTTTTTCATTGTGCCACATTATGAATCACCTTAAATTTCATCCGATCGATATATTTAAAATAGTCAGAAGAAAATGTAACCGTGTAGTCTAAGATCCAAAATGCTCACTAGGATCGTAGCAAACTGGTAGGTCAACGTCGTCCATCTTTATAATATCCATTTATTTTCTCTTTAACCACTCTACTTTATATACTGATCAATAGAGAATTTCACGGACTAAAAAGTGAGCTGTAACGAACGCATTATTTTAAGAGTTTGTCTACCTAGATGCATTGGACGAACACTTGACAGGTATTTCAATTTTTTTCCTATAGTGGCACACAAAAATGATTACAATATCTGCTGCGGACAGAGACTAGGCATAGCCTGTATATAAAAAGATGCAGAATTGAAAGAGCTATATAATGAGATATAAGGTATTTTTTCAAACGGTAAGTTTGTTAGACCTATATTGGTTTGAGATAAAAAATGCTTATGGTTTTGGTATTTCTTGTACCGTTTTTATTCAAAAGGACGGGGCGATTATTTGATGGAATCAGCCCCTGCTTGAATTCCATCGACATATACATGATTAGATGCAGAATGAACAGGAGAACATTTCTAGCCACCCGACGGACCTTAAAGTTACTCTCAGAAAAAACTAGGTCCAATTTACTGTAACCAAAGTTCCACTCTTCTTTGTTTAACGATGACGATCCGGTGCTTCACACTTGACCACTAGCCACGACGATACATATACCATTCGATAGAGAATTTCTCGCACTACAAGTTCATATATATATATGATAGTGAAAAAAGTGTCCTGGAACCCCTTGACATTAGAAATACTGTCTGGAAAGATGTAAAAAGTGGGTGGCTTATTCCACAGTGACGATCCTGTGGTCCACACTTGTCCTCTAATCACGACGATACGTATACGATTCGATAGAGAATTTATATATATATGATAGTGACATATCCAGGTGGGGCCTGCCATTAAAGATATTGAAAAGAAACTTTTGTTTGTTATCTAAGCAGTATCGTGTGTCATAATCACTAGAACTCCCTTGCTTTTGACCTTTTAGTAAAAGCTGGAACCAATCTGAATAATGTTTTGAATAGCCCGAAGATTTTTCTATCAGATTAGTTGCATGTCGGCCTTTCATTCCATAGCGCTCTTTGACCGGAATATTTTGGTAACTTTGACGCTCCTTGTGGCTAGTGGTAAATCGACCGCAGTTGCGTGAAAGAGCGCTATGGAATGGCGGGAGCAGTCTTATTTTGCTCAGAATTTTTCGCTCTATCAGGCTATATGGTTTGCAAAATTTTCTCGCTAAAAACAAAGGACTTGGTTTTTAAGCAGTCGGGTTTTCCAGAAGCTCTATTATCAACTTTTCTTATGAAAGGCCGACATGCACCTAATCTGATTTTCTCATCTGAGTTTCTTTTCAATATCTTTAATGACAGGCCACAGTGGGCATCCAGGCGGACATTAGGCAAAAAGTTGAAGTAACTCTTTTCTCAAATATAAATAGTGTAAAATGTAGCTGTTCAAATTCTCTATCGAATGGTGTATAAATGTCTATTTTGAAAATGGATCCTTCGAGCTGAAGACAATGTACAGAAAACCCATAGTGAATATCGTTACCACACTCGAAATCACGATTCTATACTCACTCAGCTATGTTACGCGGCTTCAAAGCACATATTCAGAATCGGCATGTCTTCAGCTATCTACTGATAGCAAAATGTTTATACTTCGAAAGTAATTGCAATAAGTAACAGTTAATGATTCTTCATCATCTCATACTGGTATGACACTACTTCTGTGTAGTGATATCGCTAAATAGTGCTAAACCCCTATAGACCTTCTAAATACATCAAAATGTTCCTCTACAACTAGTCTATTTATGGTGAAATAGCAAAATCTCGCATATGTTTCAAAAACGTTTTATGGATTTTCCAAAACCCATAGGGATTTTGAGGCATTTCGAATTTCTCTCCCTTATAAACACACATTTCGTCAAACATAATACCATATTCGGAATCAGCGTGAGAAACTGCATCTAATGGTGTATAACTCATCTAGGTTCACTAGCTGGATTTTGAGTTCTAGAGATTTCTTAGTTTTTGAGATTCACACAAAGAATTTCGTGTTGAAAATTTGAAATTCAAGATAAATTAACCTGAAGGACTCGAAATATGTTTCTTATAGGTTTTCGACAATGCTCTTTCCAGTGACATCGTTTTTAAATATTGAGAAAGTTTTCTGAAGGGTTTTCCACAGACCGGATCTCTGGAAAACTCCTTAGAAACTTTTTCGAAACGCAACTCTCATGCCATTAGAAAGAGGATCATGATAAACCTATGAAAAAATGGTTCATGAAATTTTAGTTCACTCATAAAGCTAAAGTCCGTCTGCTCTAGCAAAAAATGCCCATGGTGCAGGCCCCACCTTTCTGGGTATTGTGACCAGCTCACTTTGTAGAGAATTTTAGGGGCTATCCAGTGGTATGTTTTGGAACACCCACTTTCTGCCACCCACTTTTCACGGCTTTCCAGACAATATTTCTAATGTCAAGGGATCCCAGGACACTTTTTTCACTATCATATATACATGAACTTGTAGTGCGAGAAATTCTCTATCGAATGGTATATGTATCGTCGTGGTTAGTGGACAAGTGTGGACTATAGGATCGTCATCGTTGAATAAATCACCCACTTGCTACGTCTTTGCATAAAGTATTTCTAATGTCAAGATGGCCTAGGATACGTTTCTCACTACTTTGTAAATATGAAATTGTAGCGCGGGAAATTCTCTATCGAATGGTCTACATAGATCAAAAAGATTTGTAGCTCACCAGTCTGTCCTCGAGAAATGTGCGCTGTGGTGTGCGGATAACGCTTCCAATGACTCGGTCCCAAGTTTTGATATTAAAGATGTGAGTTTATTACGCGAATTCCCTGAAACCTTCTGATACTATTTTTTGTCGTTTTTCTGTTTTCTTCCTTTCTTTATATAATGTTAAGAGTTCTTGTAAACACTCATTATTTATTTACATCCTTTGTATCTTTGTAGCTGTTAGCTTGTGTAAATGGAATAACTATTACTATACAATCACTACTTTGTATTATGTTACTTCTTTGTTCATTGTCTAAAATTCACAATTAATTATTTAATTATTTTTTTTCTTTCTTTTTGTACTGTTAGGACCTTAATGGTCTTCAGTGTTGGCAAATATATATATATATATATATAACAAACAAAAGTTTCTTTTCAATATCTTTAATGGCAGGCCTCACCTGGATATGTCACTATCATATATATATAAATTCTCTATCGAATCGTATACGTATCGTCGTGATTAGAGGACAAGTGTGGACCACAGGATCGTCACTGTGGAATAAG